TGCACGCATAATAACCTTTCAAGGTTATGACGTTCGTTCAGCACAAATACGAAAACAACTAAACTGGGAAGAGCTTGCCTCAAGGCGTCAAAGGCACTTAAGTCTATTAATGTATGATACAGTGAATGGAAATGTACCTAGTTACTTAAGCGATCTTTTCTCGAATGTCTGTGAGAACAACCCTTATAAGTCTATGCTAAGAAATGCGGAATATAATGTTGTACTGGACCACGTTCCAAAAACAGAATATTATAAGGGGTCTTTCTCATACAGAGGAGGAATGCTGTGGAATTCATTCCAAATGACATAAAAGCGTCCGAATCTAAAGCTATCTTTAATAGAAAACTGGCTAGTAGGCAGGCAAACTGTTGACTACATTTTACTATATTTTATTACTTGTACATATTTTTAGTGTAGTTGTACAGTATTTACTTCTGTTTCTATACGGCTTTCATGTAAAGAAGTTATGTAACTTATGAAATTACCGTATTCAAATAAAAGTGAATCAATCAAATCAAGTAAGTCTGGCTTGTAAGCTTGTTTTGACAGTGAATACCTATGGCTTTAATTTTGTCTTTTATTATCGTTCTAAAAACCCAAATAAAGGCTTTTAAGCATTCTCCATAAGTCATTCGAGAAACTCTTTTTCGAAACTATGGGACATAACGTGTGAAAGACTCTTGCGGAGAAACGAACACACACTCGGCAACACAGAACATGTCCGCGCCGGTGTTATGAACGAATCTCCTATATGGCAAACGATCGAGTACTTAATTTTATGTTTTGAAAGGTTTTTATCACTTCTGCGAGTATCACTACTTCGATATCTTGTATCTAAATGAGGCGTGCCACTTGCCACACTCGATACAAACCATAGTATCATGAGAAGGATATGTTACATCGAACTGGCATCGAAGTTAAAACAGTACGAAGAAAAAGATGAATTAAGTTCAAGAAGACATTATGCCAGTAAGAAGTAAGGTCAGTCTGAAGTTTATGAAGAACATAAACTAAGTAGGAGTCATTAATGTCAGTGTAATAGTGTTAACGCCTACCAGATGAAAACTAGTATTCGCTGCACTTGGGTCTGTCACTTTATACGCCAAAGAAACCTCGTGACAGTTTGTGGTATTGTACTTTTGGGTTTTTTACTTACTATATAACTGAAATTAAAATTTCTTTGCAAATCCCTACACCACGTGTTTTGTGCACATAAACATCTTTCTTACTTCTTTTTTGTCACTGAAAGTCTCAAAACTTGCAACAAAGTCCTCATAAAGATCAATCGCGTTCGTCTCTCCAGCGCTTCAAAAATGTCAAAGCGCTGCTCCTAAAATCAAGCTTTTTCTCCTTGATATTTCAATAATGGCACAGCCTCGACGATCAAAATGAGTTAAATCTTTTTCGCTGATCATTAAACCAGACATCTTTGTGTGAGACGGTCCTTTCCAAGGGAGCCTTTTGTGACCTGTTAAATGATTGACTTGTACGTGTTTCCTCAGCATTCACATTCAGTGGAACAATTGGTCCAGGAAAGTCTGTGCTACAACAACAATACAACGAATAAAGAAGAAGAGCATTGTCTGATCTGAAGGAGTAAAAAGCTAAGATGGTAAGATTAGAAGCTTACACTTCCGAATGCAATAGAGCAACTTTCAACGTCCCCGATCAGCTACACACCACAACCACCCTATCCAACATAGTAACCCATACTTCGACAAATTTGTAGAACTGATCTTATCCGTTTTTACATCAGGAGTTCAAAGCTTTTTTTCTGTGCTTTGCTGTCTTTGTTGTTATCACCTCAGGAGCGACGCTGTTTAAATGGGAAGCAGACGAGAAAAAGGTAAGACGGACTTGCTGCCGTTTTTATTCATTTTTGGGAATTTAGTATCCACTGAAGGTGAGGGGGCATTCAAAATAAAGCAATAATCTCGGGTTGTAATCCAATCTAAAATCTACAATCCTGCTGGGGACGGAGTAATATGCATTCTCTTACAAGATTCAATTTTTGAAAGCCTGGACTACTAGTGTAGCTTTGCAAACAAAATGAGCGCAATCGTAGATGTAAGGCCAGTAGATCAAGGTTCAAAGTGCCGGTTTTGCGTTGACCAAGGCAACATTACAACTTTCTCAGCCTGCGGATAAAATGCTACCAGTACGGCCATTCAAATAAACGCTACTTGGCAATGCTTCCATCAGTGATATTGTTCGTTGCGCTATACAAGGTAAACACTTTCTGACTTTTGAGACTACTGAAAAATCTTCGCATAAAATGTACATGCCTCATGAATATTTTTTGTGTTTCTTACAAGTACAGATCAGGAGTTTCCAAACAAGAAGGATTGACAGTATGTTTTTTTCCTCGCAGGGGACGACATCGGAATACAAAGTTGAAGTTAAGGATGGAAACAAAGAAGTAAATGAAACAATTAAGATCGACACCGGAAAGAAAACAGAAACCGTCCACATTTCAAGTGAGGGCCGCGGCGCTGGAAAAGTCGGTATTCTTTTCGACTTCAAGCAGGTGTGTACAATAGAGGGACTTAGTGATTAGGAGCCTCCGTTTTCTTTCCTTCCTTTCTTCTCTTTTTGCAGTTTGGCCTTCTTTTCATCTTTCCTTTCCTTTTGAGTGACTGTCATTGATCAGTGACTACTAATGATTTCTTCGCCCATGCATACCGTAAATCGTACGTGCCAACCGGCAAGTTAGCTAATTCACTGTCTTCTTTGTTTCTTGACGCAGAACATTGCTATGTACCGACTGTCTAAATCGAAAGCCTGTTTTTTGAGCGACTCTACTGGCAATCAGTTAAAGCCTGCCGATCTCAAAAAACTGCTTGAAATGGTAAGTGAGTACACGACAATAATTTCTTAAAATAAACAAATTGCTTTCTGTTATTTGGTTATTTATTTTCTGTGCACGTTTCCCTCGCGGACGGCAATTTCGAAAAACTAGTTGTCGTTCACTTTCTCATCATCATCTTGTCTGCGATATTATCATTAAGGTTTATGCATCTTCGCTTTCTTTTCCTTCATGAATCGAAGCCAGGTACCAGCAAGGGAAAAATCCAGGGGAAAACTGAATATGTGGTTGTTGGCACTCTCGATGATCGCTCGTTCCTGAGTGATGAAATGGCCACCATGTGCACTAAACTGCCGATTTATCACATCAAGCAGAAAAACCCCAAGGTCTACCGTAAAGTTGAACTGGAGTTGCTTCAAGTGAAAATAGAGAATATTAATAAGAATTTTAAGCCGAAGGATGACAAGCGTGAGCTTAGACGTAGTAAAAAGAAAGCAGCGTGGCCAAGTGGTTAGAACACTGAACTTGCAATCCGGAGGCCCCGCCCTGACTTGTACCTGGATTTGTTCTCGGTAGCCCCGAGTTCAAATCTGCTATCATGCTTGTAAACTGCCATTTGCTTTTCCTTCGACCAGCTGGGATTCTTAACTTTATCATGTTTATTTGAAATACTTGTTTCAGTTGTTTGCATTACCTGTAATACAGACGTCTCTAATCGTTCCTCACCGCTAGAGAGGGACTCCATCCGTAGCGGCTAGTAGCGAGGAGAGAAGATGTAATGGCAGGTAATTAGAGAGATTAAGATTCACGTTTACGGCAAACGGCAAACGTCACATTCAAGTTGCAATTCTTATGGATAAAACTGACGTGAAACTACCGTATTTCTGTGTAGAAGTAATAAACAGTAAACGACGATTAAGGGGAAAACATGATCACGTGGTTCAAATTCACGTTTGGCGTTTGACGTACATGTAATTCATAACCTCTCTAGCGAGATTAAGATTAACGTGTACGCTAAACGGCAGAAGTGAGTTTGTACCACGTGACCAGGTTTTCCCCTTACTTTCCGTTTACTCTCTATTGCTTCTACACAAAAATAAGTAGTTTTATGCCAGTTTTAACCAAAGGAATCGTTCGGGACTGTTTTTATCTGCTTATTTCCTATTCTGAGAAATTCTCAACTTGAATCTGACGTTTGCCGTTTGCCGTTTGCGATAAACGTGAATCTTAATCTCTCTATTGTTTGCTCGGCCCCACTAGCCTTTAAGGATTGAAAATCCTGCGCAGCGTAGTCACTTAATGTTAATTTGAAAATTGTAAAATTGACGATGTATTTTAAAAGTTTTAACTGACGTTACGGCAACGCTGCGTTCTTCAGGATACAAGACTAAATACCGTTAAAAAGTTCCTTAAAATTAGCTCACGTGCCTGATTGCATACTCGCGCGCTTGCCACATAAAATAGCGCGCGCCGGCGCGCTAGTAAGCAAAAAAAGAGTAATTCACGTGAAACTAAAGTCTTGGTTAAGGCCACTAGGACCCACAGTCCCATATTTTAAAATCAACCTCATCTCCTGCTTCTTACGGAATTCCTGGTTGGCTAGGCCTGCCTACAATACAGCAGCCTTCATGTCCTCCAGTGTATGATTTGTTTGGTTGAAGTGGGCAGGTACAGAAAGGTCATTATTCCTCCCTTTGATGACATCTCTGCGGTGCTCTCCAAAGTGGTCCGCCAACCTGCGTCCAGTCTCCCCAATGTACACTGTCGATGGACATTTGGTGCACGACAGACAATAGACCACGTTTTCCGTGATCCAGGAAAAATGTCCCGTGATGTTAACATGTTAATATTATAGGTGACGAATTACTCCTTAATTTTGGCGCGAAATTTCAGCGATAATTTGTAATTCACATGTGAAATTACAAAATTGCCATGGTAACCTTCCGTACGTAGCAGTGTCAAGATGGCGACGAAGTTTTAAAATGTCATGAATGAAGATGCCAGGGCATAAAAAAGACGGTTTAGAAAACCTGAACACACGAAAGAGCACATCAAGAAGGATTCTAACAGGTATTTTGTCGAAAAACTCTGAGCGTAAGCCAAATTTAAGCTCTAAACGTTCGAGAGAGTGCAGGAGTTCTCGATCGATACGATCCAGGATAAACATGTCAAAAATCCAAGATTGCTAACGTAATTCGTCACTCATGATATTAATAGGTAATCAAATGGTATACTCGTGAAATTAGGGAATAATTTCACTTGCGTTTTGTCCAAATCCTAATAATTTCAGAGCCTAAAGGCTCGGGAAATTATAAGGATTTGGACAAAACGCGCGTGAAATTATTCCCTAATTTTACTCGTCACCATTTGATTACACATACTTAAATGTTTAATAGCAAGAATAATAACTACAGTGAACATACAATAGCTACCATCCTGTTAAAAATTCAGTCTACCAGCATTCAAGAGGGGGTACTCTAACAGACATGCTGACTGACAAAAACATTTTCTTTTTTTTTCTCAGGAAAGAAACGTGCCTTGGAATGTTTCGTAGGAACGATAACAATTTGTTGCCCAAAGGAAGAAATAAATGTTTACAAAGAATGCGACTGGCCTGTAAATAAGGCTGTCAACCATTAAACTTAAGTGGCTAAGAGTAACTCTTACGTTATTATGATATGATTATATGATGTCGCAGTTGGAAACCAACCATGAAATTGACTCTAATGAATGTTTTTTTTTGTTCACAAGTTAATTCTAAATTAATTTTGTGTGTTTGACTTTCCGTTATGCATGGTTCAATTACCCTTTTACCATCCCCCCGGGCAACCCCCGGGACAGGTCCAGCCCTTCGGGCCCGGGAGTGGTTGAAGCGGTCCTATCCCGAGGGTAGGGAATGAGGCAAATCAAAAGTAACTTCTCTAATTTTTGCGAAGTACGGGTTATTTCTCGAGCTGTTTGCACGGAGACTGTATTTTCAAGGAAAAAGGCATTAATTTGCCGGAGAGTGGATAAAGAGGAATAAAAAGGCTATCAAAATTAAAGTCTGTATTTGAAGGTATGTTTTAAAATTGCAAATGAATCTGCCTATGATGCGTACTCGAATGGACATTTTTTGCAAAAGAAACAAAGAAATATTTCTTCAGCCTACTTTAATAATAAGACAACTTAAATAGACTGGTACGGATAATATATATAGATCAACAGAGATTCAATCCAGTGTTCTTACGAAGTGTTCTATGAAAGAGGCGCTTAAGAGTTTTTTCTTCGTTTTCGTTTTCAAAAACAGGTATTGTTCATGTTTTAATTACATCTTACATGAAAAAACTGGAACGTTCTCCCCTCAATAAATTCTAGAATGCATTTACAAAACTCCTTCAAACGCCTCGTTTGCTATTGCACGGAAATCAATATTGTTCTCAAAAAGATGTACCCACAAAAA